GATGGTGCTGAGAAATGAGAGGGCAAGCGCAGAGGGGGGAGCACAGAGTGGGATGGGGCGGATGGAATTGACGAGGGCAAGGCGCGGAGTGGAGGAGCAGAGTGGATTGGTGATGAGGATGAGATGGCGCAGCGCAGATAGGGGAGGAGTTTACCAGAGTTGGATGGTGCTGAGAGAATGAGAGAGGGCAAGCGCCAGAGGGGAGGAGTACTAGATGTGGGATTGGTGATGGAGAGAATGAGGGAGGAGGACAGAGGGGTAGGCGGTGCAAATAGAGGAGAAGCCCAGTTGGGGTAGGCGCTGGGTATGATGCTAGCTACATTAACCAGCTTTCAGATTTGAAGGCCCAGGAGGACGTACTAATGGACTCCTAGCGACACCATTAAGGGGTCTTTTCTGCGTCCATATCAACCTTAGAGGCATGATGGAGGCTCCACTTAAATCACTTTAAAAGGGATGTGGAGGGCTCCTTGAGGCTCTCTCATGCCTCTTGGGGGGTGATGTGGATCATGACACTCTCATGCGTCTAGAGTGAAATCCAAAACGAAAATTGGGATGGTCACTGCATCTATGATTATGCATGATATTCACCTTCAATTATCAATGGCTCGTGTCGGATTACATTCTTTTATCAACAACCCACACTAAGCCACAGATAATGAAAGAAGTTGATCGGATGTAAAGATTAACTTGTTTTATTTATTTTTGGATTGTCCATCCTTAGAGATTCTAAATCATGTACCTGCATATTTCAGCCAGAAGATTCATCACATCCATCACAACTAGCCACTTACTTGTACTCGTTAGTGCACGTCATTGTTAGCCTCCAGCCTGGACGAGTGTTTCACGTCGGCAGCAATCCACGTTTCACGCAGGTATAGTAGAAGCGAGCAGGTATTGTGGCTACGATTTAGGTACCTGTATTTGGATGCTGTTGTTTAGTTGATGGTTATCTATATATATACCAGGGGGTAGTAACAGCCTGTACTCTGGCCATCGTTCAGTTACTTAACAGCACAATTGTTGTGTGTGTGCTAACCTTTTTGTACCCTACACCACTCTGCGCTCTCCCGCTCATTCTCTCTCCTCTCTCTATCACCTGCAGGGGGCAGACGCCGCTTCACCTGCAGGGGGCGGCGACGCACGGCGGCATGTGCCTGCAGCTGCTTGTCAACTCTCCACCTCTCGTTCTCTCTTCACCTTCCCCTCTAGATCTGTGCTTCTCCCCTCATTCTCTCTCTATCTCGCCTGCAGGGGGCAGACTCCGCTGCACCTGGCCGCGGCATCGACGCACGGCGGCATGTGCCTGCAGCTGCTCGTCAACGAGGGAGCCGACGCGAACGTGCAGAGCCGCGACGGCCGCACGCCGCTGCACATGACCGCGATCCACGGCCGCTTCACGCGCTCGCAGACGCTCATCAACGCCGGCGGTGTCGTCGACGCGCTCGACCGCGACGACAACACGCCGCTGCACATCGCCGCGCGACACGGCCACGAGCTGCTCATCAACACGCTGCTGAGCAACGGTGCGGACGCGCGGCGGCGGGGGGCGGCAGGCATGCAGCCGCTGCACATGGCCGCGCTCGCCGGCTACGCCGACTGCTGCCGCAAGCTGCTCGAGGTCGGCTTCGACCTGGACGCGGCGGACGACTGCGGCCGCACGGTCGTGCACGCGGCGGCGTGCGGCGGCAGCATCGAGTGCTTGGATCTCCTCGTGAGTTCCGGCGGCGACCACGCGCGCGCTGACAAGCTGGGCCGCGTGCCGCTGCACTACGCCGCCGCCAGAGGGCAGCGCTTTGTGCTGCAGACGCTGCTCGCGGCAGCGGCCGCCGACCTGATCGACGTCGGCGACGACGCGACGGCGACAACGCCGCTGCATCTCGCCGCGTTCCGCGGACACGCGAAGGCGCTCTCCGCGCTCGTCGGATTCTTCGCGAACGTCGACGCCGAGGACCGCAACAAGCGAACAGCTTGCGACCTCGCCGCGTTCGCCGGCCACGCGGCCTGCGTCGAGGCGCTCGTCCACCAGGGCGCGAACGTGGCGGCGCGGGATTTGTTTCATGTTGTATTATTGTCATGTGTCTTGTTATTGTATTTTTGTTTTGTTTCATGTTATTGTATTGTTGTCATGCATCTTGTTACCACCATGCTGAATGTACGGTGACGGAGAAATGCATCAATGTGTGAATTCTAGGTGGATGTGAAGGTATTGCTCATCATTTTGTTTCTTATATCTTGTATCTTGTTGTTGTATTTTATTCTATCTTGTCGCCATTGCACAGCCAAGCAGTTACTGAGAAATACATCTTCGTGTTGAGTCTGTTGACTGTAGGTGGATACAAATATATTGCTCATCTTGTAATCTCTCATATCGTGTAGCTTGTTGTTGCCACTGCGCAGTTGACTTAGGGATGTCTCAGTGCATGAACTGAATTTCAGGTGGACGTGAATGCACGAGATAAGAACTGGCAGACGCCCTTACATGTGGCAGCCGCCAACGGCGCCGTCAAATGTGCCGAGTGTATCATCCCGCTGCTCGGAAACGTAAACATATCAGACAGGTAAGCAGTGCAAACGCGCAAGTGACCTGTGCACACCTAGTAACTGTGCTACAGGCTTTGCGAAAGTGTGGTCAAACTCATGTGTATGAGGATCACTGAAGGGAATGGCCACAGTGCCCTTGGTGGACAGGTGTCCATTCTGTTGAGTTGATTAACTGTTTAACTTCCACTTAGGGAAAAATCGAAAGTGCCCTTTATAAATGGATGTCTGATAAAAGTCCATATAAAATATGGACTCGTTTCACCTCGAAAATTGTTCGCGAAAATGAACGACGTATGCAACCACGTCATATGTTCCATGACTATTAGGGTCTCTGAAATAATCGTATTGGCATGTATTCGTATGTAGTCAGCTATGGGTCTGTGTAGGTGTATTTGGGTGTGAGTAGTTAGTCGTATATGAGTGTTTTTTTTCCGTTCTGGGGTCTGTGTATTTATATTTGAGTCTATAGTCGTATTGGGATCCATATAAGTTGTTTTGGGGTGTGTGTAGTCGTATATGAGTGTATTTTCGTTTTGGAGTCTGTGTATTCGTATATGAGTGTATTGTCGTATTGGCGTCTGTATAGTCGTATTGGGGTGTATAATTATACTGGGGTATGTGGTGAATAGTAATTTTTACATGCGTTTTGTAAGTGTATCCCTGCACGTATTTTACCAGGGCCGGCCGCACGAGCCTGCATCACGCCGCGTACAACGGACACGTGGAGATGGTGGAGCTGCTTGTCCGACACAACGCTAGCATCAACGCGTTCGACAAGAAGGACAGGAAAGCTATCCACTGGGCAGCCTACATGGGTCACCCTGCGGTCGTCAAGGTAATCGCACCACGCCAAACCGTTGGCCATTTTTCCTATCTGTCTGGGTGAGATAACTGAACCTCCTTTGATACTGTTGTTAGGTTGACCAGTTTGTTCATGTTCTTAACACGTCAACACCAAATTGTCGACATTGCAGCAGTTTGTTACTAAGCAGCATTTTTAGAACTCCAATTCCTCAATGCCAGGTCCTATTAGTCATTCCAGGCAGATGGGTAAATTGCCCCATGGCAAACCGCTTGCGTGATGAATGTTAACACTTCTAATAAGTAGTCGTGCTTTCCATCTTGCTTCAGTTTAAAACATTCTGGGTATGCATGCTACATAGGTGATTGTGTTGTAGCAAGAGTAAGGTGAGGAAGAAAAACAGAGAGAGCAATGGAGAACGAGAGAGAAGTATTGAGGATGGCAGCATGGGATGAAGATGTAGAAATCGGTGGACAGAGATTTAACAAGAAGTGTGGGGAGGGGGAGGCTAGTAGAAGAAGAAGGCAGGTAAGGGAACGGTTAGTAGAGGAAGACAGGGCCATAATAAAAATATTGTTTGTTTGCCCTCACCCGACCGACCCTCCAAAAAGGGGCCTGGGCCGACTCAAAAAAATTTATTGATCTTTTCTATTGTTTTTTTTTTACAAATTGTATCACTGTACATTAATCTGTAGGCAATACATTATATGTACCAAGCCAAACAAACATTCAACATAAAAGGTATCTCCACACAAGTGCACCCGAGCATGTAGACACCATGCTGAATTTGTAAAAAGACCCCCCTGAAAAAAAGAAGCTTACCTACCTACCCAAACTTTTCAGCCTGGGTCGGGTGAGGGCAAACAAAGATTTTTTTAATTGTGGCCGGTAGGGTAGGTGAGAAGGGTAGTAGAGGAACACAGATGGTTGGCAGTAAGTGTAGTAGAAGGCAATATAGGATGACGAAGGAAGGCAAGAGCCAGAATGAGAAAGATGGAGTAGTCAACGAAGAGCGAATAGAAGAAGAGCCTCTGTATTGAAACTTGTGCATCATTTAATGCAGGTGCTGGTAGACCATGGAGCAGAGATCAATTGCCGGGACAAGCAGATGTATACAGCCCTGCATGCTGCCGCAGCTGGTGGTCAGGTACTATAGATAGCTGTGTACACTCTTCAGTTAAATAAATCCCCATCTTTCCTATCTTGTACCCATCTAGTTCTTGCTTGGCCTGAACTGAGAAACGACATACTTCTTATTAGATCTGATAGTTATTGTTAGATTGTATAGTTCTTATTAACCCTTGATATTTGATTCATATGTGTTTGAACTATAGTCAAACCTGTGCTAGCGGACACGTCTATGAAATGGACACCGTTACAACATGCACTTTTGGGGGTTTCCCTCGAGTGTGCCATACACAGGGTTCGTAGCGGGTCTTCCAAAGTCTTATAAGTACTTATTTCAACATGTGTCTTACTACTATGAACCCTGATACAGGTTTTACTGTAGTTCAAACATGATCAATATGGGTTTTACTATGGGTTTGAGTTCTCATATATATTAATTATTTACGATACAAACCTTGACGATACGCGTATCGATACATTTAATCAGTCGTGATACTAATAGCTTCAAGATTCTGATTTCTAAGCGTTCACACAATTAAGTTTCCAATTACTTCGTACCATGAAAGCTGTATTGTGATACGGATCTTATCGTGAAGGCTGTATACAGATCGTATAGTGAACAGGGCCGGATTTAGACATGGCGAGGCCCTAAGGTATGGGAAGCTGTAGAGTAAGCTTGTGTAAATAATGGTCTTTTTTTAATAATTGGGTCCGAAGTTATTAATAATAATTGTTGTGAGTTATGTTAATTAGCGTAAATCATTACTTAAATATAAATTATAATAAACAGATTGTGAGTGCTTAAGCTCTAGCTTGTTTAGCTTATGCCCAAATCCAGCCCTGATCGCGAAGTCTGTATCGTGACACGAATCGCATCGCGCGCCACCCGTACACAGTGTGCTGTTGCGAGGGCTGTACCGTGACACGTATCGCATCGTGAAGGCCGTATCATGTGATGCAGATCGCATCGCGCGCCACCCGTATCGTCCCACCCCCTAACATACGTGGTGTGCTAAATAATGATCCTTTTTTAACAATTCAGTCTAATTTGTAGGGCTGTCATTGGTATCAAATTATTTCGATTCGATTATTGATATTTTTTTTTCGATATTTCGATCCGATTCGATTTAATAATTATGTAATAAAACATGAGCCGGGAAAGTACAGTAAACTCATGTACTGTATTCTACTTATGATAACTATGCATTTTATACATCGCTGTGCTTAAATACAACATGGGCGAAGTATATTTATCTGAATTCAACCAGATTGACCTGGCGTCGCGGCGATGGCGAAGCAGCAGACATGCTTTTACGGTAGACAGATTTTATTATAAAGATCAGTGAGACAGGATACGCACCAGAGACAACTGAACACCACAGTTATTGATTGTCTCTTTATGGATGCGCCCTGCACTACTTCAAATAATGGCGGCGTTCAGTCAAAAATGCTACCGATGCTTCGCTGGCTACATTTTAGAAAAAAAATATATATAAAAAAATAATCGGATCGCTATTTTTCGATTTGTTTCGATATCGATATCGGACGCAAATCCATCGCGATTTATCGATGAGGTGGTCATTGATGACAGTCCTACTAATTTGTTAATGTTAATTGTTATTAGTGCATGACGTGATAAATCGCTGCAATCTCATTGGATAACGCAGCAGGCACTATGAAGCGATAGTGCCCGCCTGAGCGGGCACTATCGCTTGCGCGACGCATTGTTAATTATAACCGAGTGTGTTTTACGTCACGAATCTCCTGCATCTGGCGCCACGCAGAGCTAATTTCGGAACGGCGGTTGTGTTTTGTGTCAACGTTTTGTTACATCGAATTGCACCGGCCAATTTAGGGAGTATAAAGAAGGTATACGCATGAAAAGTAGAATGCATAGTCATGTGAGCACTAAAAACATTAATGGCTGTTGTTGGGGGCACTATGCTCTCATAGTGTTGCTTGGGAAGAGAATAGTGCCCTCGCCTAAAAACGCTCGGGCACTATTCCTTCCCTCAGCAACCACTATGAGAAGCATAGTGCCCCCAACAGCAGGCAGTTAAAGATAATTAGTTAGGCTATGTTAATCAGCTTAATTAGGCGTGGCCTGCCGCCCCTTGCAGGTGACCGTGGTCAAGCAGTTGCTGGACCTGGGTGTGGACCTGGAGGCGGTGAACGCATGCGGCAACACGGCGCTGCACATAGCCTGCCTCAACGGGCAGGACCTCGTAGCAGCTGAGCTGATCGCATATGGAGCGTCCATCAACACGATGAACCACAGGTGGGGGTGATTACGGGGTTCTCCGCGTTCTTATCTCGGACGGCCGATAGTCGGCGTTCGTTCTGCATTCTGTTTCTCGACGTCGGTCGTCGGAACTGTCGGTTTTTGACGCGCTGTGGAGGGGCGTCTTTGCGAGAAGGGGATTGGAGTTTATGATTGATGTCAGAATGTTTTATGATGCTAGGTCATAATGGATGTACAGTTAATCAGGCTTTCATTTTTAAGGGGCGCGATCGCGCTCGCGCTCCACGCGCACCCGAAATTGTCCATGGCTTGCGCGCTCATCGCGCGCTCATAAAGTGGTTGAGATAGCGCACAAAAAGTCTGTCTGATTATGTTGAAAAAAAATTTAAAAGCGCTCCATAGAATGTTCTCAATTAGGGGGTACAAAAAGGTTAGCAACACACAACCAATTTGTGGTGTGTATTGGTACAGTCTGTTTTATTTTACCTCGGTCTGTTTATAGTGGTATGATTTATATTATTAGATATTTTCTATACGTTCAGCACAAGTTACCTTGCTCGTTTGTTTGTGAGAAGTGTTATTGTGAAACGGCGTAGGGCTGGAGGGGCTACATACGTGGCTACTACGTACAAGTAATTTGGCTATTTTGTTGATGGATTTGTGATGCATTTTGTGCTGAATATGCATTTTTTTATTAGCTTTAGGATGGAATCAGCAATAAATAAACAAGTTTATTTTTACATCCGCATCAACTTTTTGTTATTAATCTGTGTGCTAGTGTTGGTCGTTGGTGTGATGAAAGAATGTAATCCGACGAAGCCATTGAATGAATGAAGGTGAGATGAATTTATTAGTAGATTGACATGACATTCCCAATTTTCGTTGGGATTTCACTTTTGATTGGTCATGATTCGCATCATCACACCCCAAGAGGTTTTATTATTTTATTTCTATATATAGGTTTGTCGATTTCGAAAAGACCCTTATGCGTGTCCGTCCAGGGGAGTCGATTAGTTTTTTATCTGAAAGCCTGGTTAATGGTCTAGCTAGAATCAATCAGCGCTACCCACACTGGGCTTCTCCTCTTGTCACCCTACCCTCTGTGCTCCTCCCCTCATTCTCTCATCACCATCCCACTCTGTACTCCTCCCCTCTGCGCTTGCCCTCTCATTCTCTCAGCACCATTCCACTCTGTACTCCTCCCCTCTGCGCTTGCCCTCTCATTCTCTCATCACCATCCCACTCTGTGCTCCTCCCCTCGTGCGCTTTTTCCTCTCATTCTCTCGGACCACCCACTCTGTGCTCTCCCCCATTCGCGCTTGCCTCTCATTCTCTCAGCATTACTCTGCGCTCTCCGCTCATTCTTCTTCTCTATCACCTGCAGGGGGAGACGCCCTTCACTGCACTTGGTTTTGGCTTTGCGACGTTGGCGGCATGTTGTGCCTCAGGTTCTGCTTGTCAACTCTTTACCTCTCGTTTCTCATCACTCTCCTCTAGATCTCTGTGCTTTTCCCTCATTCTCTCTCGTGCTCACCTGCTCAGGGGGCAGACTCCGCCCTGTCACCTTTTGTTCGGCTTCGCGACGCCCTCGCATTGCCTGCCCAGCTGCTCGTTAACGAGGCGAGCGACTGCTGAACGTGCAGAGCCGCGACGGCCCCTTTTCCGCACACCGCTGGCACATGACGCCAATCACGGCGCTTCACGCGCTACCGCAGACGCTTATTCCGTGTGCGGTAGTCGTCGACGCGCGTCGACCGCGACGACCAACACGCCGCCTGCATCATCGCGCCGGCGGACACCGGCACGAGCTGCTCATCAACACCGTGCCTGATATCAACTTTGGGATACGCGCGGCGGCTTGGGTTGTTTTTTGGGCGGCAGGCATGCAAGCCGCTGCACATTGGCCGCGTCTGCTACGCCGACTGCTGCCGCAAGCGCTTTCGCAGTCTTTCGACCTGGACGGGCGGGACGACTGCGGCCGCCATTATACGGTCGCTGCACGCCGGCGGCGCGTGCGGGCGCAGCATCGAGTGCTTGGATCTCCCGTGAGTTCCGCGCGGCCGACACGGCGCGCGCTGACAAGCTGGGCCGCGCTCGCGCCTGCACTACGCCGCCGCGCACTGCGCCGCCGCCTGCGTGGTGGCGCTGTGACGGCAGGCGCGCCGTCGTCGTGAATCGCCGCGACGACGACGGCGCTCTAGCGCGCGCCGGCTGCCGATTTGCCTGCACCATCGCCCGCCCGCCGGACGACGACGCGAAGTGCGTCGAGCACCTGCTCAGCGAACTGGCGCGGCGCCCTGCGCGGAGACCCGCCGCGGCTTCGGCGCCTGAACATACGCCGCCGCCAGAGGGCAGCGCTTTGTTCTGCCAGACGCTGCTCGCTTTCTTTTTTTTTGCAGCGCGTTCGACTGATCTTTCCGGGTTTTCACGTTCCGTATCTGTTTACGATGTGACGGCGACACGCCGCGTGGCACTCGTTTTCCCGACACGCTTAAGGCGCTCTCCGCTCGTCGATTGGGCCGCGAACGCGGAGCGCCGAGGCACCGCAACACGCTATACAGCTGCGCCTCGCCGCGTTCTCTTTCCCGCGCGCCTGCGTCGAGTTTGCGCTCGTCCAACCAGGCGCTATTGCGGCGCGGGGCGTTACTCTCGACGGCGCCTGCACGCTTTTATGAACCGGGCACGCCGAGTGCTTTTTTTTGCGCTGCGCTCGTCCGCGTCTTCGCGAGTGTTCGTCGACCGCTTTCCGACGACTGGTTGTGTGTGTCCGTCACGCGCGTTGGATCGCTCTCTGTGTGGCAACTTATCGCTTGCACGCTGCTGCTGGTCGGCGATCGGCCGCGAGCGTGCTGCGGTGGACGCCGGCGGCCGGACAGCGCTGCACCGCGGCGGCGCGCGGCGCGAGAGGAGTGCGTCGGACGCCGCTGGCTAGACAACACGCGACGCCCGACGCGGCAGGATACGCGCCGGACGCACGCCGATCCACGCCGCCGCATGTGCGGCCACGTTCGGCATGCTCGGCGCGCTGCTGCAGAATGCTGGCGCCCCCTGGCGAGCATACGGCGGCAACGCGTCGGCTCGTTCGAGCCCTCGCGACTACAAGCGGCATTCACGCCGCTGATAGACTGGCGTGCTACTCGGCCACGAAAGCTGCCGTCGAATTGCTGCTGGTAGCAACACGGCGGGCGGGAGTTGCCGGGCAACTTTCTCGCCGCCTGCAGCATGCTGCGCGCACGGCAGCCGAGCGCTGTGCGTAGAGCTGCATCATTCAACACGTTCGGCGACAAGATCCGTGAACCTGTGCGACCTGGCGCGGGCGCACGATCGCTGCACGCCCGCAGGGCGTCGCGCACGCAACTGGCGCGCGCTGCGCGTGCTGGGCGCCACGGCGGCTGCCCGACGCCGCGCGACGTGCGCGCGTCCACCCCGGCGATGCTCGCCGCCGCTGCGGCCACGCGCGGTCGCTCGAGCTGCCTGCTTGTCTCGCGCGCGCGCGCCGGGGGTGGCGACACGCCGGGCGACACGCGTGCCACTCGCAGTCGGCACGTCGCCACGACGCCGCCGCGCTCATGCTCGTCGCACACGGCTGCCGCGCGACGCCGTCGACGCGCAGAACGGCGGGACGCCAGCGCCGCTGCACCTCGCTGCGCGGCACGGGCATGCGGCGCACGCGCGGCGCGGCTGCGTGGGAGGCGCGGGCGAGCGTCGCGGCCGTCGACGCGGCGGCCGCTCCCCGCGCTCGCGTGCGCCGCCGACGCGCGCGTCGCAGCCTGCCTCGAGATGATCCTCGCGAGCATGATGCCGAACAACTTGGCGCCGCGCGGCGGGGGGCCGCCGTCGCAGCAGCTGCCGCCCGGGAAGGTCGGGGAGCGGCCCTCGGGGTCGGCGAGCAGCCCGACGGGCAGCGTCGACTTCCGTGAACACTCAAGCATCTCGAGCATGCAGAGCTCCGACTCCGAGTTCTACTGACGACGGCCGGCGGTCGCCGCGGCGACGCCGACGCGCTCGTACGTGAGATGCGTCGCCGCGGCGACGATCGACGCGCTCAGACGTGCGGGATGGGTCGCCGCGGCGACGACGACGACGACATTATACCGTGGCAGGCTGAGGAGTGTAACGTGTCGTGAGCCTTCACGGGGTAAGACGCCTGGCGAGATCGACCTGTTGGCCTGAGCAAGATCCCCGCATCTCCTTCTCGTGACTGATATTGCTAGGTCGATCGAGCTAGACCAGTTTTTTGTACGTGTTTTTGCTCGTGTGCATGCCAAATCATCGACTTTTCAGCACTTTGTTGCTAGGCATTGTCCTTTAGAGTGCCCTATTCGCAACGCTGGTCAGCCGGCGTTGCCTGGCATTGGCGCCAGGCGGATGGGTCAGTTTTGCACTCTGGGCCCCAGCCAGTGGGTCGAGAGCAGCTTTGAAATGCGTTATTACTATGCTCACTTGTGCCAGAGGATGATGTAAGTGATTCACATCGATTCGTGTAAAGATGATTGTTCTTTTTTTATTATCGGTCAGTGTTTTTATGCGGTGTGTGTTTTCGTAAACATAGCCTGATGCTTGCTTTCCGGCTTGCCGAGGTTTTTTTCTCCCCTTGTTTGTCTAGTGTGTGCAGTTTTGAGATTATTTCCCGGAAAACGTCATTTCATGCATGGTTGGTTGCAGCGGCGTCTTTCATCGATTATTTCACAAAACATATAACAGTGTGTTATCGGGTTGCATGTAAGCGCCACTGTTCACTTGATGTCAAACCCTCAATTGACTTTATTGATTTGGGGAGACTTGTTGCTGTTGATATTGTTATCTCCCGTGTAGTTATTTCTGGAGTGCTTCCCTGTCAGAACGAGCACTACAGGCGCTTTGTTGTTGCGTTCATATTTTGTGCCTTTGGGCAATTTTCCAGAGTTTATGGACTATCGGAGAAGTATTATTATCACATACGTGTACAGTGTGTACATAGAGCCACACCACGCGATGGTGTCCTGTTATAGATATCTAACGATATCTATATATCTAACGATAATTGCGAGCAGCGTCCGTGCAGTTGTATTGATCTGTTTAAAGAAAAAATGAAATAAAATTTATTTGACGGACACAAACGGTGACAGCTATCGACAGTGAAATCGCATCTATGTTAGCGTGGATACGATTTTACAGCGGCATCTTCATGTGTATGCTGCACGTGTGCAGTATATAGAGCATATATATGAGGTGCAGCTCGACACGTGAACGATATGGGTGCTTGAACGCTTGTGGCATTCAAGGGCAGTTATATTTTCGGTGACCTGTTTTTGGCTGGTGCGCGTGTAAAGCCCCGGTATTCTATCGACATTCGCCAGACAACATCTGGGTGCAATGTGCTTGGCTCCGTGAGACGCTGTAGCCTACAACCCAAAAATATATCACTCCTAGTGTGATATTTTTTGCTTATATGCCAGTAACACAGAAACGCTCTCAGAAAATCCCCCCCACATTCCCTCGCGTTCCCGCGGGGTGTAAAATAAGACCAGGAGTGTCATAATGACAATCCTGATGAAATCGTACGGCATATATCAAAACTCGATTGTGCCAAATTTGACGAGCAAATTTTGTACGTGTGATTTAGTTGTGCGTATGTGCGCGCGATAGAACGTGAAAGAGATGGAAGTACCGACCAGTCTGCACTAGAATATATGCACGCAGCTATATAGCATGCAGCACTAGAGCACTAGTATGCATGATCACGAGACACTAGCGAATATACAGTCAAACCTGTATATAGGAGCCGTCGAGGAAAACGCTTAAGTGGCCTTAATGAACAGGTGGCAATTCCGTCAACGGATGTCGTTTCACTGTATAATCGCCACTTGAAGGAGACCCCGCCAAAAGTGGTCATTCTGTAGAAGTAGTGGCCACTAACACAGGTTTGACTCGGCTTGGCAAACGGGGAGGAGGTGGCTCGCACTTTGTGTAGCATCGTGCAGAGCAAGCAACGTCGCGACAGCAGCTAACAGACGCTTCGGCATCATATAAGAGGATGCTAGCCTCGCTGGCGTAGCAGCGATGGCTTCGCTGGTGCAGGCTCTGGGATGTCAGTTCTTCGTGGACACTGTATCGAGCAGCTATAGCGGTTACAGACAACAGCAACACTCTCCGGCAGTAGTGAGGAGTGTCTTGCAGAGATGTCTTGGTGGCACGGTGGCTTGCCAGATTTCCTTTTGCCGAGAGCGTTTAGCCAAAGCGGCCACTACTGCTCGTTTTGCTTCTCTCATCATAATTCGTTCATTTCTTGTGACGTGCCAGAAATTGTATTTTTAACAAATGCGGGTTATTTTTTTCAAATTAATTGATTGCTTTTCTGAAATGCATTTGCGTTATATATATATATATATATATAGCAGTCGTAATGCGGGTTATTTTTTTCAAATTAATTGATTGCTTTTCTGAAATGCATTTGCGTTATATATATATATATATATATATATATAGCAGTCGGTCCGTTTCTACTAATTTGCGTGTAGCGTCGTGACACATCTTGGTTGCCTGTTATGCACGTCTATTAATTCCCGTGGGGATTGTTTTTTTTGAAGTTGTGTGAAATATGTACAGTATGACCGAAAGATGTGCCAGTGCTCTGATGGGTTGGACGACGAGGGAGTGTTGTGCGTGTTATTTTGTATTGTTAGCTAAGGTAAGACAATTACAGGTTATAATTATGTGACACGTGCGGTTTGTTCGGAGTTGTCCACATAGCTCGGGCCAGCAGCTATATTTGTACAGACGTAGCTGTAGATTTATATCTCGAGAGAGTATATTCCTGCAGAGTTATTCAGTGAGGTGCAGTAATAAATTTGAAAAGGTCATTCCACATATAAAATGCGTCACTTAATTTGTTTCATTACCTCGAGATGGCATTCTGTAGTGTGTGAGCACTTTTGCACAAAACCCACTGCTATACTGTGTACAACATGGGTCATCACTATATATAAATTACAGAATATGAGAGCCACTAGTTATTATACCATTAACATATCTATTTAATTTATAGTAGTACATGTATGTGTCAAGAGTCCATAATAGAAAATAGACTATCATGGACTCTACTCATCTTTCTATTATGGACTCTTGTATACTTATGGTTGTAATGATATATAGTGTTTAGCTCGTGTGGATTCACAAGTAAGAACTAAAACGAACAAGGCGCGAGTGTGGTAACATCAAAGTCTGTTTACTACAGCCGGTCATTCATTTGTATGGAGTTCGAGGTACTAGATCTATCCAACACTATCACACAGTGTGCACCACCACTACATCAACCACTGAACAACAAACACTTAATCACGACTGCAAATTCCGTCAGACGCAAATTAAACGAGACGATCGACAGACATTGCCATGTAAAATTCTCATTCTGAAACGAGATCGCGGGGAGGGGAAAACGTAAGTGAAAAAAACACATCGTTCACAATACCTGCCACAGATATACAAGTGCCTGTACAAATTCCAACTTCTACTTACTGGCTGACGTTAGTGCTTCATATAGCTAGCTATAAACGGGCGGTAATGGTAATTAATTGGTAAGTTGACTAGTCTCTGATTTCCATTACCATAGTTTCCTCATCATTATGCACGTCTGTGATTTGCAATCAGGAGTGGTCACCACTATGCCAAAACTACTGTATACAACTGTTAGCTTGCCACGTGACATCATCGAAGAATAAATAACAAAGAACCACGTAGTACTTACTGGTCAACAAGGTGAGCAATTAGTAAACAGAAACCCCATCAAAACATGCATGCAGCTAATTCTCTCTAGAAACCTAGTGGGAAAGATCTATATTCACTACGGTCACAGGTGGGAGAACACAGATGTGGATGTCCACATGAAGATGGATTCCTTCTACAATAATTAGACGGTCAAGCAGTTATGAACGTGGGCGGCGGAGCCGGCTCCGTGCAGGCAGTCATGCATCTCGCTGTGACGCCCTAGAGCATGAGACCGCCTCGTCAGACGCTTGACTCTCACGTGCACGAACGATACACCTCTAGAACGGAAACCCGGAGAGCCGCTACGATGGAAACCCACGTTTTCAGTACCGCTTACCCGTTCCCGGGCCACCCAAGTTAAGCATAGCTGATAGTGAATGTGATGCAAGTACATTCTTGCGTAGAAGCAACTGCGGTGCGATAGACCTCGGGACTAAGTTAACAGGCAGCCACACTCGCTACCACTATGTGTGCACACTATTGCCTTCGGTTACTGCGCCGGTGCTGCAGGTGTTGTGCATCTGTCTGAGACATTGTGTGGCTTGAATTGTCAGCGGGACTAGTACGATCTGACAGCTGGAGGTACTGTTGGGCAGTCATTCGCATCCATTGTCGCATCTATCACCGGTCTGTAGTGCAGATTGATCTGCAAGCAAACAAGGAAAACAAATCTTTAGTTAGAACACATGTTGTCATGCAGTTATCATCTATTGTCGCATCTATCACCGGTCTGTAGTGCAGATTGATCTGCAAGCAAACAAGGAAAACAAATCTTTAGTTAGAACACATGTTGTCATGCAGTTATCATCTATTGTCGCATCTATCACCGGTCTGTAGTGCAGATTTATCTGCAAGCAAACAAGGAAAACAAGTCTAGTCAGAATGCAAGTTACGATGAGGATGAATATTACGAGTAACGCGTTTCTGACAATGACCGCTTGGCTCTTGACTACAGGAAAACAATGAGCCACTAGTGGTACCCACGTAAAACGACTGCATAAAAGGAAATAAGTAAATGACTGCATAGGAAGTCCAGTCCTAGTAATAGTGGGACACACATAAAATCGCTAAGATGTAAAACACCCTGGCAATGATCACCCTCAGCTCGCAGCAGAGAGGTTGGCTCAATGAATAACCAGTGAATCAAGACTTCAACTTCCTAACCACACAGCTAGTTAGTTGAGAGAGTGTGACCAAGTACTGAAATAAACAATCTGGAACCAGATTTGCATTCAGATCCAGATCCAGAGCACAGCTCACAACTACATTTGTATATCGCTGAAAACCAAACTACATTTCGCTACATCATTACACCATCATCACTTCACCATAGATATCCGACGGCAGGTGGTAGCACGATCGATATCTAGCTACAGGAAATGCGAGGTTTTTAGCAGTCCTATAGTCACCCGAAGGCATTTTTAACTTTTAAAGTAAAGGCATCACCGAGAAATGCACAACACCATGGTTTTTCTAGCCAAGCAGTGACAAGCTATTTACATCACTGTAATCAATGATAGCAACTAATTCCATCTCCATGGTCGTGAGATTTTAGGACACAATTAACAAGGAACAATTTGTGTGCCTTATATCGTCCGATTTCCATCAAAGACTTTCTAGGACAAAAATAAAATGTACTACTTGGCAGCACCTTCCAACACCATAGTCTAATTTCCAACACTTTCTGAACCTGGCAAATTACATTTCAAAACTCCAGGACTCAACAGGCTTACCGGGACCTAACCCGTATGAACAATTGAAAAACAGTCATTCTAGGCACGAGAATCGCCCGCAGAATGCCGGCTACGTACCTTGCCAGTGTTGTGGTCACACCCGACCATGGTGTGCTTTCGCCAGTGCTTCTCGAAGGGGACGTTCTCCTGACCTGCCAACGGCTTCTTGTAGTCCAACTCGTCAATGCGTTCCTGCAAGAGCAAGCACAATGCATGGAGTTGGCCAGGGTCGGATTAAGCTAGTGCGGGGCCTGTAGCATATGTTATGAAGGGGCACTAAATTTAAAAAAAATTCAAATATTAAAACACATAAATTTAACTTAATCTAAATCAAATACATTTGTAATAGACTTACTGACAGATGAACTCTGCCAGCACTCATTATCTTATCAAGTTCACGTGTATAGGCCTACTAAAATAATGATTTTTTTATTATAACAAAATTTATATTAGATATTACGGATGTCATGATATTACAAGATCCCTAAAACTGTGGGGCCCGTAGCAAATGCTAATTTTGCTACTATTGGTAATCCGGTAATGGATTTAGCAACAGTCCACTTCGTCTCGGGTGGGACAAACGGCTGCAACCATCCTATGTCATCCAGGTCTGTCCCTGGCCTGTACCCCCAATGCACGAAAGCCTCTCTTTAAGCCCAGCCTATCCCAAGCCCAGTCAGGCATCATGCAGAAACCAATGTGTCATAACTGTCTTCTCACACAATACAAAACCACTAATTATAACCATTGTTTTAAGTTGTTGCATACACAGTTGTTATAATAATGGTTATAATTGAACTATATATAACAACTGTATCATAATCACTACTACTGGCAAAATTATAAACAGTAATTCATTCATTCATTGAGATCCAATCGTTTAATGTTTTTAAACTATTTGCACTTCCCCGTTATTATACTAGATGTTTACATATATCTGGTGCAGAGATCCCATAACATGCGTGTACCCTGACTACTCTTACCCTGACTGTAGGGTAAAGGAACTATCTGTCTGAGCGAGATAGCTACGCCCCCACACCGAGATATTGCTGCTAGGTCAGTCGAACTACACTAGATTACAAGCGTTTTGCACGTAGCATGCTAGAATGTCGACATTGCAGCACTCAATTGCTAAGCAGCATTTTAAGAGTGTCCTACCACGATGCTGAGTGGCTAGGGCTGCTTGCCAATCATTCCAGGCGAATAGATTAATTGTCCCATGCCAAACTGTTTGCGAGATGAAACCGCTAATAACCAAATCGTGCTCGACCCTTTCTTCGAATCACTCAATATAGGTGATGCAATGGATGGCGATGCAGGTAAGAATAGGTATAGAATAGGCGAGGCAGGTAAGAATAGGTGCGCTATGGAGCCACCCGCGATGCCACGAGCACCATACCCTGAAGTCCTCACGAGCGTGCGCGCCGCGGCTCTCCTTGCGCGCCTCGGCGCTGTACACCGTCTCCAGTGAGTTGAGGAGCAGGTTCTGCAGCTCCAGGGCCTCCACGAGGTCCGAGTTCCACACCATGCCCCTGTCAACCAACTGTCAAGCAGAAAGAAACAGCAATGTGATTCACCTATTTATATATGTATATATATATGTGTGTCCATCTATCTGTCTGCCCTCTCTCTCTCTCCCTCTCTCTCTCTCTCTCGCCTCTATATATATTAATAATTTTGATATAATATATATATATTATCAATATAGACATATGTATGACAGACGGTGTCTCCAAAAGCTCGCTCTATGGGCAATATAGTGAAAAATGACTATCGTGTACGGTGTATGCCATATTTTCATTTTAATGTTACGAAGCCATTGCCGTCTGTGTGCTTTTCTCTAATTTATACACACAGACACACGCACACACCCAAACAACACACACGCACGCACGCATCCACGCACGCATCCACGCACCCACATGCACCCACGCACGCACGCACGCACGCACGCACGCACGCACGCACGCACGCACGCACGCACGCACGCACGCACGCACGCACACACAGACGCACGCACGCACACACAGACACATGCACGCACACGCATACATATATGATAACTATAATATATCTATGTATAGTACAACCATAAACAGGAGGTTCAACAACGTGACTCTAGCACAGAAGCGGAGACTGCCAGATCCTTTGCAATGACGGTCACTCACCACATAAAAATATTCGTTCATTGATGATTGATAACACGACGTCAGGCTATTTTCGCCAAAGCCCTAATAACTGATCCACTAGAACCACCACCCTTCACCCCACACCCCGTAGTGCTGGCCCATGCCGCTCCTTCCGCCACGTTATCAGCACAGCTCACACACCCAGTGTTCGACACTAACGCTAGCCCGATAGCCCGGCCCTGCCCGGGGCTAGTGAAAGTTGTGTTTGGGCTACCAAATGTGCCATCAATGCTAGCCCGACAGGCTAGTCGATTTTTAGGGCGTTTGTACTGTATAGTACGTATCACTGTGATTTCGTCTCTTAGTCTACCATTCGTCAGTTCTAGTGACTTAGGTCAACTTCACATGAAGTCCTTTCGGCTGCTTAAGGAGTTGATGTAGATATTAAAACGGAAATGAAAATGAAAATGTGTCCGAATTTCTTTTTTTAAACCATAATTTTCACTCCAGATAGACTCAGAATGCAGGGTTTGGCTTCCTAATTTAAAAAAAATTCTGGTGGAGACCCCCATACCCCCCTTGCGGGGAGTGGGCTGCAACCCCCTCCCGCACCTACCCCCACGCGACTCGACCAGCCGCCTACGGCAGCTGGGCTACTAGATAGTAAAGGGGCCTAGTAGATCCACAATCTACTACCCCTAAAGTTAGTATCTAAGCAGCGTTCGAAATTAGTGCCGACCCGGAGGCCCGAGGCCACCAAGTTTTTGCTTCGGCCACCAACTCTACGAAACTGCCGGTCCTCCTGACCAGCACTTTTTCCGCTCATATTACGCTGAAATACTACGGTTATTGCAACGACAGTTTAGACAGACTTGTAAACGGGAGCGCATTCTAATACGCTTCGTTCTTGAACGTAGACGAGGTGTCCAAAACATCTAGAGCCGAGGGCATGAACTCCCTCAACGCATGATTCGCCACACGCACAAAACCTCGTGACAGTCAAAGAAATCTATTGCGGCATGTAGCATAGCCCAGTGTATTTATGACCGCATAACAATAAGTTCATATGTCGCAGGGGTTATCGTGGGGAGTGAGGGCACAACCAGTGACACCTGACACACACGTAATCAAAGCTGTTAACTGAATTCGTCACTTTTCTTTACGCAGAAAGTGGACTATTTTTATTTAGTTAGATATCTAGAAGCAATGTAAACTGTATATACTTCTATTTCATCAAGATTCTAGGCACTTGTAACTTTGCGGATGTGCGGCAGCATTGATCTATGCATGGGGGTACCGAGGACTGGGGAGGCAAAAAACGAAAGTAAAACCTTTCCCAGAAGCTCCCCCAACATTCCTAGAGTTGAAATATATTATTTGACCAACTCTACATGTTACATGTATGCTGTTGATGCCAATGGTTATTTTTGTATACTATTTTGTTACTCACTGCTAGTAAATAAGCAGACCACAAACTTTTGTGCAGAACCACTAACTTCAGAAAGTTGGTAGTCCTGCTGTCCACTAGATTTTCAGCCAAAATTCGAACCCTGTATCTAACCCCGCACACCCGACCCCGGCCCCTCACCTTGAGATCTTCCAGTCCCTTGAAGCATTCGGTGACGCCGCGGCATCCCTCCTGCAGCACCTCGCCCGTCCGGAACACGGCAGCGTTCGTCTGCATTTGCTGCAACAGACCGACACGACAAATGAACATGCAGCCCAACGCGCAGACGTCATCCCTGCGCAGATGTCATCTCTGCGCATCTGATGACCGCATATGATTGTCAGTGATAACGTTAGCACGTGCGTATACCACGCTACATACCTACTATACAGTAAAAACCTGCGTATAAGAACCTAGTGATTAAGAACCTGTTAGGCTAAGATTTCCCATTTAGACCGCCTTGACATAAGAACCTGTTGTAGCCTCAAATTTGAAACAGGTTCTTATTTGATAAAATTCAGTTAACACTTTAAAATTCATAAATTAACTAAAACAAGTTCTTGGTGGTCTATATACCTCTATTAAGGGCATAAAAAGAAATAGGAACATAGAATAGGGTTTGTATTTGTCTAGATTGCAGTCATTTAGACATAATTATATGAATATTTTGTATAAACAATGGACCGCACCAATATTCTACCAGCCACAAGCACCTTTTTTTCTTAACAAAATAAGAACCTATTTAAGAACCTAAATAGCCTAATTTCCCAGTAAACACCAATTATATATGAACCTTTTTAGGCTAACCTGGAAAAATACAGGTTCTTATACGCAGGTTTTTACTGTATTGAACGGACACTAGGAGAATAGCTAGTTTATTTTGTCGGGGAAGGGGAGGGGGGCAAAGCTACGTGTGTGGTGTGTTCTGGGAAGGTAACAGCCATTGACCATGTAATGAATCTACATTTCTCTGGGAGGCAACTGCCCTCCATGGCTAGCTACGGCCCTGGACACCTGCGTCTACGCAACACCCAGGAGTGTGGTCAGTGTTGACACGAGCATGTGTAGACAGTGGTTCCTACTTAACCAGATATCAGATAAATGGGCGCATCACTTAAGTGACATCTTTAAACATTATATAAAAACCCAGAAGGCTCCTTTGAAACTGTGAATATATGTGAACACATAAATGAATGAAATCCATGTTATAATTGGTACACTGAGGAGTGAAAAGTTGCATCTACTTGGACAATCCACCTGGTCACAAAAGTGCCTTAAATATTTAATTTTTAAGTTTCTCAGCTGAGTTGATGAGCTTTCTGGGCTTCCATATGCAGGTGGCAAAATTAGCTCTGGACTACCAATGTCGTGCCCTTGAAAAATATATATAGTCCTGTGAAAAACTCCTTATTGGGCATCAAACAAAACACGATCAGTCTACTATAGTTCTATAGTATCTGACTGAGACAACTGATACAGTTGATATAATCTGCCGATAAGACTTTTCAACTGAGCTGTAATAGAGTACTGCGTTAGAGTATTGTATAGAGTTGAGTATAAAGCGCTGAGTTTTTTGCACAGTACAAACCTTCTGCATCTGCAGACGCAGTTCTGCGACCAGAGTGCCGCCATCAGCGTATCGTAGCTTGTCGATGTTTGCTACCGACTCCTCTCCGGCATTCTGTCGTGCATAAAACACAAACATCATCAGTCTACATACAGTACAACAAACATCCATCTCAGTTAAGTGAGCATGGACTCGAATCAAATAAAGGCCAACTAATTTACATCGAACCAAAGTGTTTTTCAACATTTGCAAACACCAGTCATCTATAGGGGAAATCGAAGATAAATTGTACGTGGATCCATCGCATCGTTTCCAGCCTGTGCTATGGGATGTGAGAAATTCTGGGTACAGACACATGGGGGAGCCCATTACAATGTACCGGTAAACCAGTCTCAAGAAGTGCTGCAACTGCAAGAATTGTGTGTAAACAAAGTTGATTTTTGCTCATAGACGTTAATCGAACAATGGCAGCAAAAACACAAACATGACACGGTGAACACATTTATACGAATACTGTACAGACGCCTACACGGCGGCATCAGTTCCGAGTGACGGAGTCTCATGTACGTGAGTGAATCTAGATCATGGCTCTCCAAATTACACATGCGAGAAATCACAATGCACAGTGCAAGCATGTCCGCTGCACCAGTAGGATGAACAGGGTTTAATAAATTATTCATAATAATTAATTTATTTTATATTGCCCAAATAAATCCTATACCTATCCGTTTATCTGTCTGTCTGTATCCATCTCTCCATCTATCTATCTCTCCATCTATGTACATCCAGCATGGCTGCACATACGAAGACATATACACTAGAACAATTATATACTAGACTATATACAAGAATACCTACTTTTACAGATAACGAGCCAAAAATGCCTAGTTATATCCAGACTTAGTTTTCGAGCACTTTAGACTTTTTTCTTTATTTCTTTCCCCCATGGTTATCGACGAAATTACCGGCTAACGAAAACATCTTCCCGCAGAAACCCCTCCCCCACTCCGTCCCCTCCCCTTCCCCAGGAAGTACAAAAGAGAAGCAAAGCGGAGACTCATGGGCCTTCATCTCGGGCAGGGCGTCGCCGGGCTCGTGGATATCGACTAAATTATCGGCCCGTGATCCAAAACATCTTCCCGGGAGAAACCCCCCCCCCTTCCCACACCCTCCCCTTCCCCGGCTCCGGTAAGTACGAAGAATGAACCAAAGCGGAGACTCACAGCCTTCATCTCGGGCAGGGCGTCGCCGGGCTTGTCCTTCTCCATGATGGCGATCGCGCACGCACGGCCGAACACGACGAGGTCAAGCAGCGAGTTGGCGCCGAGGCGGTTTGCGCCGTGCACGGACGCGCAAGCGGCCTCGCCTGCCGCGTACAGGCCGCGCACGGGCACGTCGCCACGGTTCTTGTCGTACTGGATCACCTGTCGAGGATGGAAGCGACGTGAGACGCGCGCACGAAATCACAGAGGCGAGCACGCAGACACGCACTCGCGTACATGCACAATCAGGCACGCAAGCACACACTCAGACACACAAGCACGCGCATACACGCTCACGCACGCGCACACACATAGATTCATATGTGTGCGTGATGTAATCTAGGGGCACCAACCTTCAAATAAATTCTAGGGGTGATCATCGATGTTTGGAAAAATTTATCCGAACATAATTATACGGATTTAATTTATCTTCCAAATAAACAATCTAGGCAGGGGCAACACCGATCTGTGAAATTAAATCTAGCAAGCTGGCTACGATCCGAGATGCGTGGCGGCATCAGCGGGGACGAGTGAACCTGCCCTGCGGCAGCGTACCTGTCCGGTGTAGACGGTGGGCACGCCGCCCATGTTGTAGTGCACCGTTGGAAGCACGGGGATCGGATCGCGTGTCACGTCGACGCCAGCGAAAATCATCGCCGTCTCGGAGATTCCTGGCAAACGCTGGTGCAGCTGCTGCGCAGGAAGGTGCGACAGCTGCAGATAGATGTGGTCCTTCGTTGGTCCGACGCCCCTGAATAGAATAGAATCCGATGATAATTGAGTGAAGTGAAATGAATGAGACTTATTTCAACCTGCAACCGAGCACGCAGTTAATGTTAAGACTAATGTTAGGACTGATCACGTTTCTGACAATGGGTCCTTGAATGCCACAAGCCTCACTGATGCTTCACGAGCTTGTCACCTACTGCGACCTCATGACAAGCTTAAGCAACGTCATTCAGCATGACAAAGCTGACTAGACTAGTTGTTAAACGTGTCACTAAGAGGTTAATTACATGAATTTATCATGAAATTAATGAAATCTGATCATAATTGACTGAAGTAAATGAATAAGACTCATTTCAAGATAAACTTAAACACTCCCGCCCTTGCGTTAACAACAAACCTCATACCTGCCCTCACGTTAATGACTAATCTCATACCTGCCCTCACGTTAATGACAAACCTCATACCTGCCCTCACGTTAATGACAAACCTCATACCTGACCTTGCGTTAATGACTAATCTCATACCTGCCCTCGCATTAACGACAAACCTCATACCTGCCCTCGCATTAATGACAAACCTCATACCTGCCCTCACGTTAATGACAAACCTCATACCTGCCCTCGCATTAACGACAAACCTCACACCTGCCCTCACGTTAATGACAAACCTCATACCTGCCCTCGCGTTAATGACAAATCTCATACCTGCCCTCGCGTTAATGACTATAATCTCATACCTGCCCTCGCGTTAACAACAAACCTCATACCTGCCCTCTCGTTAACGACAAACCTCACACCTGCCCTCTCGTTAACGACAAACCTCATACCTGCCTTAGTGCGCATGCGAGAGCGACGAGGGCGCTAGAGGGTGGGCCGTCGGCGAAGAGGGTGAGCGGGGCGCTCAGGGGTGCGTGCAGGGTGAGGCCCGGGCGGGCGGGGAGGCGGCCTAGGGATTGGGCGAGGGTCAGGCGGTCGTGCGCCCGACAGAGTGATGGGGGCGCTGGACGCCGTGCGGCGGCGGAGATGGGGTGAGGGGGCAGCCAGGGGTTGCGTGCAAGGTGAGGCCGTTTGCGCGCGGAGAGAGGGGGCGCCCGAGGGTGCGGCCCGGGGATGAGGGTGATGGGGCTGGCGGGGTGATGCAAGGGTGAGGGAGCTGATGCGAGGGCGGGGCGGCGGTGTTGGGCCGCGGGAGGGGGTGAGGCGCGGCGGCCAGGGATGTGTGCGAGGGTGAGGGGTCTCTTTAGTGCGCGACCGGGTTTGGGTGGCCGGGGAGACTCCGTGTATTTTTTTCACTGCGTATGATTGTCTTGTATTATCTATGAGATATTAATTCTTTAGTGTTTCGAAATAAGGAAAACAAATTTGCACTTGTCGATGGACAAGCTACAAGTATTTTTTGCTTGTCTTCAAAATTTTGCTTGTCTTGATTAATAACATAGAAGTATAATAAAGGTTGTAATACATTTAAATCAGAATTAAATCGTTAAACCCACTATCTTACTTGTAACTTTAATACAGTTCATTAAAACAGTTTTAAATTAGGCCACCAACTATTGAAAGACACAAATGAAGCACCAGCTTATTTATTTTAAGTATTACTTGTCTTAACAAAGTTTGGGCGATGGTAGAAAATGATGAAATAATTGCCATCTAAAAGTTGCTGCTGGACAGGTTACTGCGCAGGTTACTTGTCCTCCCTGCGAAATGAGACAAGTGCAGAGACAAACGGATAGCCCTATTTTCGAACACTGTTACTTACCGCATGTGTTATTATAATGATTTTCTAGAGTCATTGAAATTCTACACCTGCTCTGTCGTGTCATTTTGTCTGTTTGCCTAGTCTGTCTGTCTGTCTGCTGTAACTATCTATCTATATGACTGGTCCTTGTTTATTTAAGCTATGTATCAAATATTGCCCAAGGTGGATACGAACGAGCGATTTCTCATCACTGGTTGCCTCACCACATGTACGGGCCCGGCACCGCCATTTGACGCGCTCGCGCTGGCCTAAGACAACGCAGGACATGATTCGTGCAGTTCACCAACAGGTAAGTTCATCACTAAGGTTAGGGTCACAACAGTGGTCACTTATAAGTAGTAGAGTCAACAGGTTCACTTATAAGTTAGGATAGGTCACAGATAAGGCACCTGTAACGCGTAGGGTTCACGGTTAGTCAGCTGCTAAGGTAGTGCGTCAAATTAGATCAAGCTCAGCTGTATAAGTAGGGGTTAAACAGATGAGTCATCTGTAAGGAGGGTCAATAAGCATGAGTCAATCTTGTTAAGGTAGGCGTCACATAGATAAGTCATCTGCTAAAGCTAGGGTCAATAGATAAGTGTCATCTGTAAGGTAGGGTCAATTAGATAAGTCATCTGTGAAGGTATGGGCTCAATAGATAAGTCGGCTTGTAACGGTAGGGTCAACGGTTAGTCAGCTGTTAAGGTAGGCCGTCATCTGTAAGGTAGGGGTCGATAGCATAAGTCATCCTGTAAGGTAGGGTTCAATCAGATAAGTCAGCCTGTAAGGGGTAGGGTCAATAGATAAAGATCAAGCTGTAAAGGTAGGGTCAATAGATAAGTCAATTCTGTAGGGTAGGGGTCAATAGATATAGTCATCTGTAAGGTAGGTCAATAGATAAGTCATCTGGTAAGGTAGCCCGGTCAAATAGATAAGTCATCTGTAAGCGTAGGTCAATAGATCAAGTCATCTGTAAGAGTAGGTGTCAATAGATAGTCAGGCTGTAAGGTAGGGTCATAGCATTAAGGTCATCGTAAGGTAGGGTTCATAGGGCTCAATAGATAAGTCATCTTTAAGGTAGGGTCAATAGATCAAGTCATCTGTAAAGCAGGCGTCAATTGAGATAAGTCAGCTTAAAGGTAGGAGGTCAATAGATAATATCTCGTAAGGTAGGGTCAATCTATAAGCTCAGCTGTAAGGTGAGGGTTAATAGATAGTCGGCTGTTAAGGTAGGTGTAATAGATAAGTCAGCTATAGCGTTAGGCTTAATAGATAAGTCATCTGCTAGGTAGGGTACAATAAGATTAAGTCATCTGTAAGTAGGGTCAATAGCATAAGCTTTCATCGTAAGTAGTGGTTTAATAGATAAGTCATCTGTAAGCGTAGCGGTCAAATCTATAAGTCAGCTGTAAGCCGTAGCGCGGTCAACGAGTTAGTCAGCCTGTATGGTCAGGCGTCAATAGATTAAGTCATCTGTAAGGTAGGGTCAATAGGATAGTCATCTGTAAGGTAGGCGTTAATAGATAATGTCATCTGTAAGTCAGAGTCCAATCTATAAGTCAGCTGTACAGTAGGCGTCAACGGTTAGTCAGCTGTAAGGTAGGCCGTCAATAGATAAGTCATCTGTAAGGTAGGCGTTAAATAGATAATCATCTGATTAAGGTAGGAGGTCAATAGATAAGTCAGCCTGTAAGAGTTAAAGCGGTCAATAGATAAGTCATCTGTAAGTAGGGTCAACGTCCTTAGTCAGCTGTAAAGGTAGGTCGCGTCAATAGATAAGTCATCTGCTAAGGTAGGTTAATAGATAAAGTCAGCTGTAAGGTAGGGTTAATCAAGATCAATGTCAGCTGTAGTAGCCGGTAGGGTCAATAGATAAGTCATCTGTTAAGGATAGGCCGTCAATAGATAAGTCATCCTGTAAGTAGGGTTAATAGATAAGTCATCTGTTAGGTTAGGGTCAATAGATTAGTCAGCTGGTAGGTAGCGGTTACATAGATAAGTCAGCTGTAAGGTAGGCCGTCAGGAGGTAAGTCAGCCTGTAGAGTAGCGGTCCACACGATAAGTCAGATAAGGTAGGAGGTCACGCTGAGTGCAGGTGCTGAAAAATAATGCAATAATCCCATTTGGTAACAAATGCGTTCTAGCATTTGAATTTCGAAGGAGTATTCTGAGCGTTTGCTAGAAGTGGCCACGCATCCAATTAGTTGGGGCGATAGAGAGTGACTGTAGCAGTTATTCGCGTGCGCATGTTCTAGCAGGAGTCCTGGCCAGCTGTTCGCAGCGGAGGATTTACTGTCAGCGCATTGAAATGATATTTTGATCAAATTTAGATTTTCTTGCTTACTTCCAATTTATTAATATTTATTTAAATTAAATTACTAATATAATAATAAATAAATTTTAAATGAAACTTTTTAACGAATTTCAGTAATTTTGCTAAAATAGGGATGTTTACGCTTATTTTCATAACATGAAAATAATTCTCGTCATCGACTTATCGCAACTCCGTGTTGTTTATCGCGTGCCGCAGGCATCTACGCGCGCGGGGTGCCTCATCACGAGGGCAGCCGCCGTAGTGAGGAGGTCTACCCGTCAACAGCCGAGGGAGAGAGGTCATGTGGAGCGTACGCTCCACCGCCAAGGGACCTCGCCTCCCGCGACGTCGTCTACACGTTCGATGACCTGAGATCCGCTTGATGGGCATAGCGTCATTGTACGTTGTGTCATTAACGTGAGGGCAGGTATGAAGGTTTGTCGTTAACGACAGAGGGCAGCGTATGAGGCTTTGTCGTTACATGCGAGGGCAGCTATGAGGTTTGTCCTAACGCGACGGGCCAGGTATCGAGATTTGTCATTAATGCGAGGCGCACGCGTATAGGTTCTGTCATTATACGCTGAGGGTCAGGTATGAGGTTATGTCATAACGCCCCGAGGGCAGTATGAGGTTTGTCGTTAATGCGAGGGCAGGTATGAGATATAGCC